ATCGTCTATATCCGTCTATATATATATATATTTCTACACACATATACGTATATGTATATCGTATGAGATGTGTGGAGAGGAACGAGCGAACAGAGTTATGTATGAAATATAATAAAATTGTACAGGAAATGACGAACAAGTCGACGAGGGAGAAGGCCCCCGCCATCAGCACCCATCGAGTGGGGTGCTCTCGATGAAAGAGGGCTTTGCCGGGGCTGCTCGAGGAACATTTTAACCATCGAATGGTTTGATTATTAAATCCATGAAGTTTTTCCGACACACACACACACACGACACGGGTATAGATATGTGTATAGTATGTGTTTTCTGGTTGTGTGTGCGTATGTATACGAGTATATATCAAAATTCACTTGATTGCAGTTTTCAAGTGAAATCCTAGCACACTCCAGAACGAAACGACTCGACTCGACTCGTTGGCTCTAGGAGAGCCCAAGGGCTGAGGATATCGCGATGGTGGCAAACGGGTGGCTGGGTGGAGGGGTGGAGCTTGGGCTGTGCTGGATTGGGTTGGGTTGGGTTGGGTTGGGTTGGGACATATAGGAAATACATATATTCCCATTCCTCTGGCATCTGTAATTGATGTTTTCAAGTAGCAAAAGTGCACGGCGGTGCCCCCAAAAACTAGCGGAGTTGATTTTGTTGTTGCGGAATTTTAATGAAGTACTACGAGAGGAAGCAAGTTTTCTGCGACTAAATCAAATTAAACCATCGACTGAGAGGCACTGCCTGGCAACGCGACATCCCATATGTGTGTGTGTGTGTGCATACGAGAGGAAGTGGAAATCTGTAGGAAATGAGCTACCGCGAAAGCCTATTCCTTCTCCGATTTACCAAAAACTAATGCAAGTTTTTGTCAGCCTCCTGCCAAGATTTTACTTCTGCCTCGCTTCTGCATTGCTTTTTGCCATTCAATAATGCTTTTCACGCTAATTAATTTTTGGTTTTCCACAAACACGAACCCAATCACACACTCACTCGCACTCTTCGATGGCACTCGACAATTTCCTGAGCGTCAAAAGGTTGCTGCCAAGGACCTTCCTTGCCCACTCAAAAGAGCAGAGGGTGAATCTGTCCAGAGATTAAACACAGGGTGTGGGAGAAGTCGTTTCCTTCTAGCAGCCAAAACAGGATTCTATTTTGTTGTTTGCCCTTTAACAAAGTATAAGGATTTTGGCACTCCAAAATTCTGCATTTCAAATCTATTTCTTAAAAAAAAAAAAAAAAAAATATTATATATTTTTTTTCGTTTTGCAAATTACTCTTGGAGTATTAGATGTTTTCTTAGGTAAACAAAAAAATACTTGCAATCTTTTCCTTACAATAAAAAAAACCATTTTTTTTTTTCTTTTTCGAAATCATAATGAAATCTTGCACATAATTTTCTTATTTAAAAAGCACTTCATTTGGCGGATTTAGCCAGATCGGATCACTATATCATATAGAAACGATAAGAACGAAACAATCCTCGGAAAATTCCTGTGGGAAAGGCCCCTTAGGGTATCCAGAGTTTACCTATTACGAATCTCTGCCTATTTTCTTTGCTGTTTTTTTTTTTTGGTACACTCTCTGCAGTGACATTAGAAAATTTGTAGCCCCTGCTGCCTTCCCGTTGGCATTTCCTGCTGTGAATTTGGTTAAATTGCATTGCCAGAAACGGGGAGCGGTGGTATGAGGCTGTGTTTTGAGGCATGTTGCTTGAACGAATCACAAGTTGTGGCAGCGGCCACCCCACGGATTCGACACCGCAGAAGTGCTGCTTGTTCCGCCGCTCCTTCCTCTGCTTTCACGCCCAATTGATGCTGGGGTTTAACGCCTCAGTAGAGACTCCAGGATGAAGGGGGAAACCTGACTCACCGGAGTCACAGGATAATGGGGGGAGCCTGCCTCACTAGACACTCGGTATAGTCGGGATGAAGGGGAAACCTGCCTCAAAAAGAGGCTGGCCTGGCGCAGAAAAAAAAAAGGTTTCAATTGCGTGGCAAGGAACGCCCTCTTCCCGTCTCCCTGACACGCTGGGCGTGTCTGTCTCCAGACAGAAAGATGGCGAATGATGCAAGAGATTTTTTTCGGTGGATAATCTAATTCGATTTTGAGGTCTGCGCCCCAAAGGGACGAAGATCCACCGCTTCGCTTTGCTACGCTTCGATCGCTTTAATGCATCAGTGTACTGCAGCACCCTCTCTCCTTCTATCCGTCTATCCGTGTATCCGCCTATCCGTCTGTCAATCTGCTGATTAAATTCGTTGTTTGTTCGTTGCATCAAACACAAACATCTACCAGCAGTAGGTGCTGTCGAAGGCGCTGTGGAATCCGCCAAAGACAAGCCAGCAATGGCGCTAAGCCGCATAATTCTATATATAGAATACATAAATGCAGGTCTATATATATCGTATATATATATACTGTTCTTCCTCGAAGGGAAGAAGGGAAGGGTGTGTGTGTGTGTGGCAGGCAGACCCGCATTCAAGGCAACATTGCAACTCAACTAATGGTCCATTCGTGGCACTTGGTTATTGACGTTGGACTCGAATCGTATTAACAATGCATGGGAGGCGCAAGGGGAGTCACAAATAGCAAGCGGGCAGCATTTCGCTTTGATGCGAAATCGAAGCGTGGTCAACTTCATTTCGCTTAATTTCGTGTGGAGTCTGCCCCGGGCCCAAAAGCAGGGGGGTGGGCAGGGGAGTGCTGTGCGCGTTGCGTGTCCGCTAATCCGGGGCTGTGGGGAGTGGGGCATGCCACTCAGCTATGACATTTTGGCAGCGTCGAGTGCACCAAGACTGTCAAATGAGTTGTAATGAAATCTCACTCAGGATGGAACGCCACGCCGCTATATGCCTCACATACACATACGTCTACACACACACACACACACACACACACACACACACACACACACATATGTATGTATATCGTGTATGCATTCGCCACAGCGAGTGGCATACATGCATATGTATGTGTGCGCGTGTGTGGCATTCAGCTTTTGGTCAGTCAGCTGCAACATATAATAAATAAATTATTTGCCATTTGGCTCTAGGCGTATTATTTGGAAAGGCAAGAGGCTCTCGGCTTGGCTCCGCATCTGAGGATAAAGGGAAGCAGTTGCCCCATCTGTCGGCTGTCTGTCTGGCGCTGGTCAAGCGCCATCTGTCGGCTGTCCTTAGAGAGCAGACTAAATCATTAGCTTGATTAGTCTCGAAAGGCGCTGCACTGGAAACATTTGAAGATCTCTTTTAAATACAGATCGAAAACATTCCTTGTGCGCGACTACATTTCTCAAATTCGTCAAACTTTAGATATTTCTCGTTACTCTACCCTCCTTACTCGTCACTCGTCACTCTCTAACATCTCTTGTTACTAACTAACGTTCGAGTCATCATCTCTCGTTACTCGTTACTCGTCACTCTTTATTCATCCTTTGTGTCTTGTTAAATTTTTGAGGCACATTTTGAGTTGTAGCTTAATAATTAGGGAAAAGGTAAGGGTTGAAGGGTGGCCTACACAAATAAAGCAATTTTTGAGGGAAAACTTTTGAATAATATATAATTTGCAAGCGGTAATGAGCCGAAAAGTAAATCGTAGCAGGTCGCATGTTTAGAGCACATAAAAGTAGGCAACGATTTGTGCTGGTTGCTGGGCATTGTCTGGCGAGGATTACCCGCGTGGTAGCCATGTGAGGGACAGGACAGGACACGACAGGACAGAAGAGGACGGGAAGAGCACCTCCAAGCGAGTAACAATAGCAGACGCCAGTCACATGGCACAAAAAAGTTACAAGTAATACTTAACGCTAAATGGGCACAAGTGGGGCCCCGTGCCTACTTGATATCCATCCAAAAGTACTGTGCTGCCGCCACTCTGTTGTTTCTCCATCCATGCAATGCATGAACATTTTTGTAATGAAGTTATCGAAGAGGTGGATCCAAAAAAACCCCCCATCAGCCCCACACCACCTCACTCTACCCCACTCTACCTGTCTGGCTAAGCACCTGCACTCCTAACTAACATATGTAGAACAATATGCAAATGTTACTTTGTTATGCAATTAGTGGATTCAATGGGAGGCAACGAACGAGGCACACCAGGCACTCGGCACGGGGCAAACGTTGCACCGTTGCTCAATGCAAACAGACAACGACAGACATCATCGTCTGCGAAGCCACCTACTCGAGGGCTTAGCCATCCAGTTAAATGTATCGTTGACATCGGTATCGGAATTGGAACAGGGCTACCATTGTTGGAGAGCATAAAAAGTGTTGGTCCTTACAGAGGGTTTGAAATAACGAATACCCCTTATCGTTGGTATATATTTCGAGTCTATGGAGATTTTGGTGGAATTAACGGGTGCCATAAATGTACGATGTGGCAGAATTGAGTCGATGAGGCTAAGAATTAGGTCTGTAACTGGAAAATGATAGATAACGCAGGGAAAAGAATGTAGAAATGCCCTTTAAAAAAGTTACTCGTCACTCTTCATTCGATTATCACATTCGGCAGTCTTAATTTATATGTAACTCGGTACACTTTACTCGGCTCTCGTTATCGTCTCATATCTCGTTACTCGACCCTCATCTCTCGGTACTCGTCAATGGTGTATGTTGTTTTTTTTACGCCTCACTGTGGCCCCATATGGCCCCAATGGATCTTCAACCTATTGAAAAATATCCTATTCCTAATGGTGCTGTCACAGTATCTGTCCTGTCCATTACACCCTCTGTTCGAAGGGCATCGAGAAATGAAATTAAACGAAAAATAGGTCGATTTTGCAAGTCAATCAAGTGGGAAACAGGAGACAGAAACAGGGAATGAGAAGGTACTAGGAGGACAATAACAGATGCCGCATTGAGCGCTAACCAAAGCGATTCATACAATTAATTGAAGAAGCCCTCAACCGATTGCATCTCTGCCTCCATGCCTCCGTGCAACACTAATCATTCTCTTACTTATTCCCTCTCTCTCTCTCTCTGATTTCGTTGCAGGCCAAAATGATGGAGAATTCGCAGGCCTGGATGGGGGCCACCGCTGGCTCCGCGCTGGCAGGTTCGTACAAAAAAGGTGTAATATGTCTTGTAAATATCCACAACTTGATCCTTTCCACTCGTGTGACCCTTCCAGCAGACAGCTACCAGTACCAGCTTCAGTCCATGTGGCAAAAGTGCTGGAACACCAATCAGAATCTGATGCATCACATGCGCTTCCGGGAGCGTGGACCCCTCAAGTCGTGGCGCCCCGAAACGATGGCCGAGGCCATTTTCAGTGTCCTCAAGGAGGGGCTGTCGCTGTCGCAGGCGGCCCGCAAGTACGACATTCCCTATCCCACGTTCGTGCTGTATGCGAATCGGGTGCACAATATGCTGGGACCCTCCATCGATGGCGGACCCGATCTGCGGCCCAAGGGCCGTGGGCGGCCCCAGCGCATCCTCTTGGGCATATGGCCGGATGAGCACATCAAGGGGGTGATCAAGACGGTGGTTTTTCGCGATGCCAAGGACATGAAGGACGACAGCCTAGGCGGCCACATGCCGCCCTACGGTCGTCACTCGGTACTTTTCCCGCACTCTCCCATAAGCAATCATTTCTTGAATGTCTCTCCCTCTCCCTTTGCAGGACATGACGCTCAGCTATCCAGGCGCTAGTGGCGGCATTCCAGGGCCAGGAGCCGCTAGCCTCAGCGCTCTGGCCTGTCCCAATGGCATGGGCAGCGGTGGAGGCGGAGTCACAGGACCAGGAGGAGGCGTCGGTGTGGGTCCTGGCGTTGATCAGCACATGTCACAGGAAACAGCAGCCGCCGTTGCCGCCGTGGCACACAATATACGACAGCAGATGCAGATGGCCGCCGCCGTGCAGCATCAGCACGGGGAGGCGGGGCCGCCGGTGGTGCCACCGCCCGGGCTGTTCAACCTGCCGCCGCATTTGGCAGGTGGGCCAGGCCCGCCCGGCAGCAGGGGCAGCATTTCCCCGGCGTTAAGCAGCGGTTCAGGGCCGCGACACGCTCCCTCACCGTGCGGTCCCGCCGGCCTGTTGCCGAATCTGCCGCCCAGCATGGCCGTTGCTCTGCACCGTGACCCGGCGGCGGCGGCGCTGCTCAGCCAGCACCAGCAGCAGCAGCATCACCTGCAGCAGCTGCACCTCCAGCAGCAGCAACAGCAGCAGCAGCACCACTTGCACCAGCAGCAGGTGGCGGCAGCGCATCATGGGATGCCGCACAAGTCCGGTTTCGGTGCCAGTTCCATGGCGGCGGCCAGTGCCGCCTCCACATCCGCATCATCGTCATCCTCCTCCCACCAGCATTCGCACTCGCATCCTCATTCGCATTCGCATTCGCATGGGGAGAAGCAGCAGAAGAAGGGGAGTCCTCACCGCAGCGAAACCCCGCGCCTGCACTCGCCGTTGGGCGATTTGGGGCTCGAGATGTCCAGCTACAAGCGAGAGTACTCGCCCAGCCGCCTCTTTGCCGACGATCTGGCGGAGCTGGTGGGCGCCAGCGTTTCCTCCTCATCATCGGTGACGCAAGGAGCAGCAGGCGGGGGATCTTCGGCGGCCATTGGAGAGGCTCCCCGCTCCAGTTCAAGCGGAGGCATTAAAGTGGAACCCATTACCACCACAAGCGAGTAACGAGTGGCGACCAACGAGTGGCGATTGGCGAGTAGCGAGTAACGAGTAGCTAATGAAAGAGTATGGAAATGATACTGAAAACGAATGAACAGGAAAAGCAATCAAAAGCGCGAACCAACTAAAATCAGAAGAAAGAAAAAAACCCATAAGGGCTGGGTCTCTCGCCAGAGCGACTATCCCTAATATATATACATATATATATATGTGTATATATATATTTGTATTCCTCTAGTTTCCTTCTACAACAAACAAAACAAAACTCAAACTTCGCCCTTAGGTTCTAGCCGTACGACTATTTTTTTTTTTTTTTATTGAATCAAAATTCAAAGTATTATTATATTATAGTCCATCGGAAAAATAGCGATCTCTTTAGTTTGTAAGTCCCAAAAAGTCCGAAGGAGCCCGGAACATTCCACTAAAAAAATCAGAAGAAAATCCCCTACAAAAAAATCGCCCACAGCAAAAGTTTTAACTCAAAAAAAAAAAACAAAAAACAAATATAACAGTAATTTTAAATGTAAAAGAAAACAAAAAACGTAAAATAACGTAACATAACATTTTTTTGAACAAAAAATAATAGTAATTTTAAATGTAAAAGAACAAAACAAAAAACAAAAACCGTAACATAATGAAATTTTTTTAACGAAATAATTGTGTGCCCGACTTTTGTTTAGACTTTAATTTGTTTTAGCAAAAAAAGGATAAAAGAAAAAAGTGTACAAAAAATATAAAAAAAGAGGAAAAAGAAAACTAAATTTAATGTTTAGGCTAACACACACAAAAGAAAAATTCACAAAAAATGCCTTTCGGAATTAAATTCAGCGATGAAAAAGAAACAAAATTTGTAACAAAAAAAGAAACAAAAGAACAAAAATTTTAAAAAGAAAATGTGAAATTTTTTTAAAAATCGTATTTATACAAAACGAAATTTTAGATCAAATTTAGGAGAAAACGAAGCGAAATTTTTTTAGTGAAAAAGCGAAAATTTTTGTATGACGACAGCTGCTGCAATCTAATGGGTCTCTGGGGGACCTTTATTTGGGTTTTCAGAACCCTAGAACACCAAAACTCCCAAAACCAGTCTCTAAAAAGCCCCAAATGATCCTGTTATACCTAACCATAAAATCCCCATTCTAAAGTGCCTTTTCTAGCCTTAATTTGATCTCTGTTCCGTTTCTATTCTGGCCCCTGTGTTGCTCTACAGATCTGCAGCAGTGTTCGTTGTTTTATTTGAAAAAGTCTGGCGACATTATATTTGATACATAGGATATATATTTTAGGCGTACCTTCCGGCAATTGATTTGATTTTAGCAAGCACACAATTGATGGGGAGAAATCATTATAATAACGAGTAAAGAATACCTAGAGTTCCATTTTAAGCAGGGCATTCGAAACGACTGTAGCCGTTCGCTTAGAGAAAGAATAGGCATCATTCAAGACGTCTATTTCCTTTTGATTATTGAAAAATTGTAGAGGGAACATCAACCCTTACATATAGCGAATTTATCCGTTTGCTTAGGGGAAATTGGAACGACTGTAGCCTTTCGCTTATGAGAAATTCGTATAGGCGAAATCAGCACAGCCAATCCTTTCGCTTAGAGGAAATTTGTGGAGCGAATCAATAAATGTACCCTTTCACTTGTGGGAAACTTCTACAGCGAATCAAGATATCTATTAATCGCATCGAATGTCCTGCTATTTGGAACATGGGCTATAAAACAAAACATCATCATCATCATCAGCATAAAGCGCAGCAATAGCCATAGCCCGAATATATCTATATGTATAATCCACCTGCCCCCCCCCCTGCCCCCTAACACATGCCCAAGAAATCCCACATAGAATTTGATGTTCCACAAACTTAACTTAACGATTACTTTCGGTATAGCATGTAAAATAAAAACTATAACAAACACGACAGATGGATGGAATGGAATCGAATGGAATGCAGAGAGAGAGAGAGAAAGAAAGAGAGAGGAGTTTGAATGGAGAATCCAACGTCCAACGTCGAAATGTTTCAATTTTTTTTCTATCAAAACTTTAGTGCAAAACTTTATGTTCAAATTAATCTTAAATATCGACAAACAAACAAACAAACAAAAAAATGAATGTTCTAATTAACCGAAAAACGAAACGAACGACAAAATTAAAAAGTATTTTATAAAAACATTGAAAAAGATAACCCGAAAAACCCGATGGAATCGTCTTCTCATTTTTGCTTGCCAACAGAACGCATTCCACACGAATGCGATTCGGCGACGCTGCTTTATTGCTTTTCAGATACTTGGAATACTGGATAATAGTGTATGCGATGAAGGATGCCATGCCTCATCCTCCTAGAGCTGGGTCCACTCCTGTCTAGGGCAGGTGCTTCTCCTCCTCTAGAGCGGGCTTCACACCGCATCCTCCTAGAGCATAATGGGCTCTGACGAAGGCTGATTCATCTCCTGGTGGCGCTGCAGGAGGCCCAAACACTGGTGCAGGCACTGAGTGCTGGCTGTGGAGATGGCCTTCAGCAGCAGCAGATCGGGATCAGTGGGCGTAAAGGAAGCACAATCGATGCTCTCAATGGCCCTGGCCAAAGAGGCATTGCTGAAATAGAAAAATTGCGGATATTAAGAGGGATTCCCATCCAAAGACAAGCTATTTTTCCCAACCATTGCTCTGTGAGGAACAGCGCCTGACGGGCCGAAACCATCGCATCGGAGGCTGCCAGCAGCTCCCGTGGCGGCAGTGGCGACGAATTGCTGATGTCCATGGCCTTCGTGTGGCTCTCAACCACCGCCCGGAGGCCGTCCACCCATTCCTGACGCGCCCGCGCATCGTTGGCCCGCAGCTTCACCGTGTCCCCCGAGGCGCAGGCAATGGAAAACGTGCGAGAGTCCTCGTCGCTGGGGTAGACCACGGCGCCAGCCAGCTGGACCTGTCCGCGGGGGGCACTCGCCAGGACATGGGGCGAGGGGGCAATGTCGTCGCCAACGGCAGAGGAGTCGCACAGGTAGTAGCTAAGGAAGCCCGTCTTGGCGTCCACAGTGAACCAGCGATACTGCCAGCCTGGAAAAGTAGGAGGAGATTTCGGGCGATTAGAGGAAGATCCTAGGGGATTTCGTGGCATCACTAACCCTTCATCACATTCGTATATTTGCTCAGCTGGCCACTCAGCTGATGGCGCAGCGTCTGGTTAATCATGCGATTGAGATTGCTCTCCATTTCCGCGTCCGTGGCCGCCAGAAGGCGACTTTTTCTCGCCGAATCTCGGTCTGCCGATTCTTGTTGCGCCTGCTGCTCCTGCTGCCGCTGCTGCTGCTTCTGGCGTGACTTGTTCTTGCGCTGCCTTAAGGTGTTTTTTAGTTTGCGTAAAATGTTTGCAAATTTACAATTAAAACCGTGCGAAATAAACTAAAAAAATAAAACTTCAGTAAACTTTTGCCACAGCAGTCGATCAGAAATATACCAAAATACGTCAAAAATTTCAAAATATACCGTAAATATACTGGCGAATTTTTGTACTTAAGTTGCATCATAATTCCTCGATTTTGATCTTCGGTTAAATATTACTAGCCAGCTAACACCCTTAGTTCTGAACTCATAATTTTATCCAATTGTTAAATAAATTTCCTACAACACTGGTCAAAGTTAAGTTCTCATCTTTATTGCATTGCTTATAAAATAAGGTTTAAACAAAAACAGTTTCCACTAAATTCATTTCCTTACATTGTAACTACACATCAACTGCACATGTTCTACATATTAACTACATGTTAATGTAATTACCAAAGGCGACACCTGAAGGGGAAATGTACGTTTGTGCACGTTTCAAAAATTTAAGCCCGATGGAAGCGCCAGTGTGAAACACCTCCGTTATTCATTTCTTGACATACCTTTTCTCCGACATTTTTTGAAACAACTGAGATTTTGATGGCAACAATCAGAAATTCGATGCTGATCACGAATTAGTATTCGATGTGGCCTTGGCTCCAAATGGCACTTCCACACGGTTTCTACATTGGTGCATTGGACAAGAGGGTAAGGGTGCATCTAAGAAATACTGGAAAATTTTAGAAAATACCATTAAAAAGTGTACAAATTTTCAATGTATCTAGCTGGCAGTGTGCCCCGACATGCTATCGTTACTTTCGACTGTCTAATCGCTAGAGAACAGCGCCAAAGTGGATGAAATTCGTGAAACTCGCAGAGTTTCATTACAATCAGCTTGTGCCTGGGACTGTTTTTTAGTGCTGTAAGCCCACATGTGGACATCAAAATCAAGCGATATCTGTTAGCCTATGGTTGACCAGTGGCTGTTTAAATACACACATGACTATTATGACGTTGAACAATTTAAGCTATGTTTAGGTGAAGATAACGTGGTTTTTTGGTAAGCAAGGATGGATCTGCAATAATAAATCCTCTCTTCGTGGAGCGAAACAAAGTACTTTTCCTGAATAAGGAAAATAGTCTTCAATCCTTCGACGGTGTACGATTAACCCATTGAAGACAAAGGAGATATTTAAATATTTCCCCGAAAATAATGAAAATTGAATAATTTTAGCGCAGTTCAGGTGAAAGATAAGTTCAGAAGAAAGATTTACGGATATACAAGAAGAATTTATAGTAAGTAATTTTTTCCGCCATTAACCTCAAATCGTTGGACTATATAAATAGAGGGGGGCGTAAGTGGGCTAAGTTCGTTTTTTCATCGGTATATTTGCGGTATTTCTGAGGGTCAGATTGTCACACTGCTGCTCTGACCTGCAACGAAAAAATGAGTCGTAATTTGAATGTGCTATAACAACGGTTATAGACAATAGGCAAAAACAGACAAGACAAAATCTGCTGTTTTGTATAAAACGTATATTGAGCAAATGGGGTGGAATTTACCTTGCATGGGTTGCACCTTCTGGGCCGTTTGCCTGTTGTCATACCCTCTTTTTCCTTCCATTATGTAGCAAATGTGTAGCAATTGTGTAGATATGTGTAGCAAATGTGTAGAAATGTGAAATGCTGTTGTCGGAAGCAGAGCTGCCAACTTTTTATCAGAAAAATAGCTGTTTCTAGCTTGAAAAAGACGTAAGGGAAGCTGAACATTTTCCAAATAATTCTGTTAAAAATGTTGTATTAAAGTGATATTCAATTTCGCAATCGTTTCAACTTTAAGGTAATCCAAAATTTTGCTAATATGTTAACGAAAAAAGTCAACCTGCTTTAAAAATTCTAAATTATCTGGTAAATTCACAAATATCATTCAAAAATAACGATGTACCGGCCAGATTCTCTGGCTTTTTATGTTATAGGTGGCAACATCAAAAAAAGCTGAAAAAAGCCAAACACATATATACAAAAATCCAGAATTCCCGCTTCGCGCAGATCACAAATTTGTCCCGCTTTGGTCTTCAAAAAAAGCCAGATCTGACGAGAAAAAAGCGTAATCGCCAGCACTGGTCGGAAGTCGGGGAGCGTTTAATTTTTGCGAAAGACACACGAAAATTGTTTAAATAAAATAAATGCTACAGCGGTGTTGCTGCACATGCAACATGTCGGCGGCATTGTGATCTCGGCTTGCGTTTTTATGGTAATTTTTTTGATTGTGAAGCACACAACAACAAAAGCGCTGTGTATATGTGCGCGCGGTGTGAAAAAAATCAATTGGTGGCAGAGATGCCAGTAGCAAGAAAAAGCAGCAGCAGCAGCAGAGGCAAAGACGCAGAACTACGGGATGATGTTGGCGATGATATAGTGATTGTGGTGCCCCTCTGTGGCTCTTGGAGTTTTTTCAGTGAATCTTTGGTGAATTTGTGGCAATTAAAATAATGGGGTGTCCCCCTGCCCCTGCCCAATGCCCACTAGATGTTGCAATTGGCTGGAGTATGTATTTTGCGCGCCGCATTCGCCACTCGGGAGATTTGTTTGGTTCTTTCTCTTTCTCACTCCCCCTTTTCCCTAATACGCGCCTGTGTGTGCGTGTGTGTGTGTGTTTGTGTCTTTTTCCCACTCCCCCATTCATGCGTGTGTGTTCTTGTATCTCTTTCCCACTCCCCCCACCCATTCGCGTGTGTTTAAAAATAAGAACAAGAGCAGGAGTATATGTGTATGTGTATGTGTGTGTGGGTTTGTGTTTTTTTTTTTTCAAGTTTTTATGTTTTTATGCGGCTATCGCGTGACGGCGTCACTTGATTTATGACATTTAACATATTCCTCCGCACCCCTTATGGCACCCCTCGCCTTTTATCTCTGTCTCTCTCTCGCTATCTATCTCCTTCTGTGCTGCAAAAGAAGAGGGGTTGGGTAAAACTCCCCCCGCAAATGAATTTACAAATGAAATGTGCAACACACACACACACTCACTCACATTCGCTCTTTCGTTTCTTCTTTCATTCCACTGCTCCTCCTCCCACTCGCATTACGAATAACAATCCAAAAAGAGTGACCATGAAAATGCCAGCGAGAAATTTTCAAAAATCAATGAGCACAAGTGAAATACAAGCAACAACAACAAAATCATTCAACAAAAAAGTGAAGCATCAACCATCAACCATCAACAACAACAACAACAAAGCGAAACGCGCAGAAATAACCGCAATAAAAAAATAATCAAAAAAATAGTAATATTAATAATAATAATAATAGCGTTTAAGTGAAATCCGCTGCTGGCTGGCTGGCTGAAGAAAACCGTTATGCTGCACTGCCTCCCACAGCTGGGCCGCAGCTAGAGCTAGTGGACACTCGGACGAACATCATGGATGGACAGCGGGCCCGCGATCTGCTAACGCTGCTCCAGGAGCGTGTCGTCTTCCTCACGGGCGGCAGGGACAGGCGTGGCGGTCCACTGCTCTGCTTCCCCGCAACGCCGCGTCGCGACCGCCTCAAGCCGGAGGATCTGCGACGGCTGCTCAGCTACCTAATCAGCATACCCAGGTGAGTGTGTCCGCCAGCGCCCGCTCTCTCTCTCTGTCTTTCTCACTCTCTCCTCTGCCTCCTGTTCCTCTTCTGATAATCTGCTTTTGCTGCTCCTAATCCTCCATTCAGTCTTTTATGGTGCTATTCTTCCTATTCCATGCTCTCTTTCCCTTCTTATACCCGCTACTCTAAATGAGTATAGGGGTATATTAGGGGTATATTGTGGTGTGTAACGTCCAGAAGGTAGCGTTTCCGACCCCATAAAGTATATATATTCTTGATCAGCCGATTGAGCCTGGTCCGTCCTTATGAGCGCCTAGTGCTCAAAGACTATAAGAGCTAGAGCAACCAAATTTGGTATCCACACTCCTGTAATATCGAATCTGCACAAGTGTATTCCAAAAGTAACGCCGCCCGACGACACGCTGCGTCTCACTCGCACACTGTTTTTATCGCCATCTGCCGGGGGAGAGCCACACTGACCGAGTATCGGGTATAAATGTAGAGTTGCGGTCGCAGCACCAGCTCACCACGTTCCCCCTCGTTTTGTTTACTTTGCTCTTTTCTATAGGGTGATCTTTCTCCCTCTCTCTCTCTCTTTTGTGGTGCTGCTCCTCTACCGCTGATCTTTTTTGTGGTCATCCTCCTCTGCTACTCCATTTTCTGATGTGCTACTCCCATCTCTGCCAATGCCTCTCTTCTCGTTTTCCCCTCTTTGTGGTACGATACCCCTCACAATGGCCGCTCATTGTGTCAGCTGACGTCGTCGTCGTCGTCGTCGCTGCCGCTGCACGCTATGCTTCGTTTGCAATTTCGGCTGACGTCGCGACATCTTCTTGCACCCGCACTCTTGCCAAGGGGTGGGTGAGAGGGGGGGCTGGGAAGGGTCGGGGTCCCAGGGGCAACAGCTGCTGCAGCTGCAGTGCCACATTCCACTTGATTTTCCTGTTATAGTCGCCTCGCTGCACCAGCAGTCGCATATTTTATGACTCATCACGGCATACGACGACGCACATTGTTCTTGGCTCTTGGCTCTCGCGTTCTGCATCGGCTGCTGCTGCTTCTGCTGCTGCTGGCAATTGGCTGACATTGAATGGAGCCGCACATAAAGGGGCACAAGAGAGTGCAAAAAAGTCATAAAAGTAAAGATTATAAAAATAAAACTAGAAAAGAGCAAAAGACTCGCGACGAGAGCAACAAAAGTTGCATAAATCTGTGCGACAAAGAAAGCAATAATCAAAGAAGAAGAATCAGCACACACACACACAGTCATATGTAAACCGGGGACCGGCTCTGCCGAAGAGCCGTGGAATGCCAAGAAGCTTTCCGCTCGAAAGTATATTAATGGTGAGGTGAGGCACTCCCAGCGAGCGTGCTCTTGGGCAGCGAAAGAGAGTGACATCTCGAAGAGTGGAAGCACACCTTAACCCACAAAAAAAAAACAAACCAGCAAACAACCAAATGAGCGCTGGAGAAGGAGAGCGGGTAAA